CACACCACGCCACGCGACACGACGGAGGCCCTTGCGAAACCGCGGGCCTCACCTGCCGTCCGCGCGGCCCAGCCGGCCCGCGGGCATGGGCCTTCGCCTGGCTTTTAGGCTGCCGCCTCAGCTTGTCGCATTTCTGCTAAATTACATGCCTCAAAATTCAATTTACTGCTAATAGCTTCATGGCACTTTATTTTGGCGATTATGCGAGAAAATTATTTTTCACTGTTTAAAAAAAAAAATTACACTTTTAGATCTTTGAATCTATTTCCAGGAGAGTAATGTGATGCGGTACAAAGCACTACAACTTATTAGCAATATATATGATGTAGAGAGAAGATATTTAGTTTATGCTTAAGCAAAATATAAACTGACTTGACCCTTAAAGACTTTTCTTTCAGTTTTTACATCTCTACTATCTTTCTGTAAATAGCTGTAGACATATTTCTAATGCGACTAACCTATTACTTAATTGCTGAAATAGGAAATAAAGCAACAGCAGAACAAGCGTAAAGCTGGAGTCAGAGCGCAGGAGGTAACCTTCTGATAAAAGGTGCATGTACTGAAAAGCTGCCGGTAGACATCGGTAGCTGGAAAAGGGTCTTTTCCGGCTCAGGTTCACTCTCAACTCTGAAGACGCACCAAAAGCATAACAGCTACTGAAAGCGCCATTTCCAAAGAGCTGAACTTCTGAATGTGTGAATTTTGCAGGACTGGACCCAAACACCACAAAGCAAACACTTCCCTTCAGCCAAACTGAAAGCATGTATCTACATTATAATGCATCTATGCTAAAACACTACAGAAAAACCAAAGAAGCTCAAGAAAATAAAGCCAAGAAAAACCAGAATTACCCCAGCTCCTTTGTGCCATAAAGTTAAAAAAAAAAAAAAAAGGAAGTTGAATTTACTGTATCATAATTCATATGGCCAACTTCGGTATTTGGTTGCAGGTTGTTCCTAAAATTTTATTTCTTGTTTCACTTTCCTTAAAGTCCCACCGCTAGGCAACATTTTGTTAATTATGCTATTGAAAAAACAGATAGACACAACACTCTCTGCTAACTTTGTCTTTTGCTTGTCCAACAAACTGTGTTTTGGGATGATACAGGTGCAACCAGTTTATCTTGAAAGGGGTGTTCTTAGTCTCTGGATCAGTCATGGTACAACTGTGTTTTTGTAATGACTTCATGCCACTAAGATGGGCTGTCTACAACATGCACGACTGCATTTACAGCAGTTGTTATCCAAAGCACAACCATGATTGAAGTATGTCCACACCTGCCATACTGTCTGGCTTGGTATACATCCGTGTATTCTCAAGGAAACTGGGCAGCCATCATCCCACTGGGCTTCTGCAGGGGAAAGGGGGCTTGGGGACGGGCACCCGGAGGGTATCGGCAGGATACAGCACAATGCACCCCTGAGCATGCTGCAGAGAGAAGAAAAAGGAGGGACCGGCTGAACAGGACAAGGCCCCAGGGACACGAGGGCATGAGAACTTGCTCAAAGACACTGCCTGTGTGGCGGCTGAGGCCGAAGATAAGGGATGAGGTTGATCATGGCACTCAAGAGACCGTACCAAGAGCTGAAGTAGTAATGCTAGAGGGAGAACTGCAAGGCAAGTTTGCTCTGTTCATTCTTGGTCATGGTCTGAAGGTGCTGAGTCCTAGGAGACATCACAAAGGGCAGCCACGAGGCGCTGCACCAAAGACGGACAAACGAAGGGTACCTTTTCATGAAGGGGTGCTTCCTGCCTAGACCCTTAGCATCTGACAGTGCCCACGTTCTCCTGGCCTCATTTCCAGCAGCCATGGATGACCTCGAGCTACAGCCTTGGCAGCACGGCAGGAGGACACACTTCTACCTGCTTGTCTGTCTGTTGAAACTCAGGAACGTCATAAGCGAGATCTCTATTCCTACCTGAAGTGATTGCGATCTACCCAGAGGCTTCCAAAGTTATTAATAGAAGTCAGTTAGACTGTGGAAAATGATTGCAGAAACATCCTTTCCTAGGAGACCAAGCTAAAAAGGTCTACATTCAAAGTTTTGGGATGTAGAAAATTAATAAAAATTTAAATTGATACATTTTGGTTTCTTTTTGTTGCTTGAAAAAAAGAATTGTCGAGATGACTGCATACGCAATCTGTACTTTCATGTTTTGCAAGTAAGTAGTAGTAGAGGCCTAACTGCCAATCAAAAAGACAGTAAGGAACAAAGAAGATGAAGGGAAATATTGTGCATTTTGTGAGAAAAGAGTACATCAAAGTCTTAAATGAGTAAAAAAAAAAAAGTTTCAGAAGCCACATCTCTCCTTAACACACACTCGCTGTCTATATAACCAGTGCTTCACCCTGCAATGTGAAGTACTTGGTGCCCCATCCACCAAGTGCCCTTTATGGGGTATTGGAAAGGACCTAAAAGAGAGCATATGCAATCACATGGATGCAGAAAAATGCATGAAGAGAAACATCCTAAAGGGATTCAAAGTCAACAAGCAGCAGGATTTTTTTTCAGCTCTAGTACACCCACCAGCATTCAAGAGCAAAACTTGCTTTAAAGAAGAGAACTGCAACTCTCAAATCTCATGGCAACTTTGAAGTGTTTTAGGTACAATACTCCTACATTTTAAGATTCAAGACTCTACTTCAGCAAGGTGTTCAAAAGTGAACACCAAACCTGAAAGCAGTAACTAGACTAACCACTACAGATTAGAACGTGTTCTGCACAGACATGTTGTGCAGTGGTGAAGTAACAGGGATGAAACCTTTTGGCGTGAGATTATATGCAAATATTAAGCAACACAGGTTAACCCTCAAGTAGTAGATAGTTTATTCTAGAAGTTGTAAAAAATTTATAACTAAATAAAGTCCCTGAGAATGCTGGCTGCGACCTCTGTCCATTTATGATGTTTGCAAGCTCTGATTTTAGTTAATTTCAAAGAGAGAGGAAGTGTTCTACAATCCTTAACATTGGTTCTTTATTTTGGTATTTTAATTCCAAACTCTGATTTCATTTGATCTTACTGAATGCTTCACTTCTCACTGAACGCGAGAGTTATTTTTACAGTTATAATATATGTTTTTTAAGAAAATAGAAGTTGAAACAGCTCAAAGCAACTATGGCATGAAACTTCAAGCACAGATGCCTAGAGAGAGGCACTTAAATGCATATTTAGGTACTACTAAAATGTTATTGCCAAATGACGTAAAAAATACAGTTAGTAAATAAGCTGCACCATCTGTATACCACAATCATTGGCATGTTATCTCATCACAAAGGAATTTATAAGATCTTTAATTTAAGTTACTACATCTAAAATAGAACTGTTTTTGTAAAATATAATTCATGTTACCATTCAGTGTTGTACCTTTGAACCCTGTCTGATCAGGGTTCAGCACCCTCCACTTCTTTTTTTTCCATTCAAATTCCTCTGCACTATATTTATTGCCACTGTATTCAAAGCATAAAGAACCACTTTATTCCTTCTCTACAAAATCAACCTCCCTATTCCCTGCCTCAACACCTAGCATACCTGCTTCCTGCATATTTGTTGTGGTATGACTTTTGTTTGTTTGTTATTTTCAACTTTGATCAGCAGGTAAGTGTTACAAAACTACCCTTGGTCTTCCACCTCTTACTTTTGGGCTTATTAAACTCCAACAGCACAACCAGCAGCTCGTCTCTGTTTAACTTATCTGTTCATGGATGTGCGTTTTCTCTTCCCACATCGTGATGGCAAGCCTTGGTATGGGTCATTAGGTCAAAGATACAGAAAATAATTCATAGGGGTTTTCAAGGGGTTTTCTTCTTTTTTTTCTTTTTATTATTCATCTGTTTTGTCTAATGACAGAGTAAGAACATATCTGGTAAAATAAAACTGCAAAGAGAAAGACAGGTAGAAAGAAATACCTGAAGAGAACTGCAAGAACTGTAACTCAGCAAAACTCCTCAGTATAAAATGTCATTGAGTCCAAGTCTGAAACAGTTAAATAAGGCTGAGCAGGGCTTATTTAAAATAAATAGGGTATTTGTGGAATAATACTGTAAACCAACATGGGATTCAGAATCAGGATCTTGGGGAAAAAAATAGGAAATTATTTTCATACCTCAACAACAGTGAATAAAAGACCAAGAATAGGAATTTGGAAAGCCTGCTATACAGGCCAGGAAGAAGTTATTTCGCTATTAATAGA